TTTGCAACTAAAAAAAAACCACGCAAACCTAAAACTTCTTGAATTCGAGCATTTTTTGAGGAAACTGCCAGCATTTCCTTATCGATGGTTCACTTTCTAAAAAGGTCATTTAGTTCTCTTTGGAATGTTGTAAAAACGAGCGTTCTTGCTCATTTTGCTTCCAAGAAACATGCAAAACGGAACGGAAAACATAAAATTTTGCAATAATCTTACGCCACTCTTGCACAAAACGACGATATTTTTTCTAATTTCATAGACAACAGAAGACTGTATTTTTTCTACATGAATTTCCCCCCTGAATTTAAAGCTGGATCCGCCCCTGGCCCTAGTTGGATGTTTCACATCAAAACACAACTCAAAAACAGTTCATAACAATGCCCTGACGAGAAAAGCAAGCTTTCCTCGTCAGAAAAGTTCACTAAAAGGGCAAAGCACTATTTCCATTTAAAACAAACAAACCTACTAAAAAAATATTGCGACTTTTAAGCTTAAGCGGCATGGGTATAGTTGGATCTAAGCAATAATTAAGACAAAATATGAATTTGCTTCACCAGACATTCGGAAGAACTTTTAAGAAATAGATGTGTTTTCAATATTTTGATGGAAAGCAAATTGAATCCATATAATGTTTAGTGCAATTTATATTTAAAATATAATCATGAAAGTATAATTGCGAAGAAACATGTATTTTCATAGGATCTACAATATCCAATATCAGTGGGAAAACGGCTGATAACCCGTATAATCAAGAAGATCCTTGTTGGAAGAATATCGGCTACCACTTATAATTGGATGCATCGATTAATTATTTTTTATCAACTCATTAATAATATTATTTAATTAGCCTAACATTTTGCCCTAACACCCTGTGTGTGTACATGGTTAATTGCGTGGCAATGTTGCCAACAGGCGTCTTTTTCCAAGTTAAGAAACCTTTGCTCTCGGTACCAAAGCTAGACAGGGGCGAATGAAAGCAGCGCAAAGAGGGCGGCGGAACGGGGCAGGGGCACAAAGGCGCAAATTTAACGAAGGAAAAAGAAGCAAAGAAGAAAAGAAGTGCGCTTGGGGTTCGTACCCGTCCATCATTAGGACGCACGCTCCGACTTCCGTTTCCAGTTCCGGGTGCCCGGAGACCCGCGCTAATGCACTTTGAATTTTTAACGTGATTTATGCGCACCCCTGCCGCCCTAATTGAACATTCTTGTTTGTTTTAATGCCAAATTTGTCGCGGTCTTATTAATTTCATCCGCTCCGCCGAAGTTTATCTAAGAAAGTTCGGCGATGATTATAAATTACCGTCGTTCGTGGCCCCAGCTTTGGGGCCCCATTATCCGGTAATGTGGTGGGGATAGATGGGGATTTTAGGGTTCCGTGGCGCCCTACCGGTTCCCATGCTCGATTAAATCACGGACGGGCACCCAAATCCGACGAACAACAACAAAAACAAACGACGCACAAGACATCGTCCAGGTGGTTCGCAGCCATTGTTATGCAAATGGGGCCCAGGTGCGCAGGGCGGGAGTAGGGCAGGGGCGCCCCGTCGCGTAGGGATGCTGATTCTCGCACAGAAGCGCAGTGTGGTCCAGGTATACATATATTTTTTTCGTAATTTACGATCGTGCGTTCCAGCAAACACCCGAACGTATGTTGGCGGTGTAAACGAAGCCGGAGTTTCGGGCCATTGTTGCCTTTCGCTTCGAAAATCCTGGCAAAGGGCCCCATAAATATTCGCGCTGAACTTGTCATCTGCAGCCGGCAAAAGTTCGGCCGAAAGGTAAAGGCAAATCGTGTATCTCGAGGCCCCAAACTAACAAGGCTTGACAATTATTCCGGGTAATTAAATGACGGGAACTTTTGCCCGGCAGCCATTCTCAACTCCGGTAATTAAGAGAGTCGGTCGGCACGTTCTTGTGCGCGACTCCGGAATGTGCCAATTTCATTAGTCCCATTGTCGCTCTAATGTGCCTAATTACCTGCATCTGTTTTTCTTCGATTTTCTTCTGATGCCGCATCAGTTCGATAAGACGAATGGAAAGTCGCAAACAGTTCAGGGCTGAACTCCGTTTTCGGCGAATCGGCCGTGATTCTCCATTTCCTCGCCTTATTAGTCGGATCGCACGCCTGCATTCTTAAGTCGACTTAACGGCTAATAAACATGTCGTTTGAATGCGCCCGTAGCTGCGACGATGTCAATTTTTTAATTAGGCCCCCGATATTCCGAAGCAGTCCTGACCCGGTCATTTGTTCTACCATGTCACATTCGAAAATCCCAAAAACCACAATTACTTCCCGACCGTACACCACGCCAAGCCAATTTCACTATTTATTGATTTTCAGAAATTCACTCAATGTTGGCAACATTGCCATTAGGTATTGAACTTGCCAAAACTTCACAATTTTTTCCTTTAGCTCATGTGAGATACTTACGATGGAAACAGATCTGGATTGTGTTTATTTTTGGAAGTAGGGTCATCAGTCGTACACAAGTAGAAGGTTGTTTACGGTATCTATTTACAAATATATATTTCTTTGACCTTGTAATTTATATTTTGGTTTTGCTTTCTTGGTTTTAGGTCTTTCAAAATTTACAAATATTCAGGGTGATTCAAAATTGGCGTCAGTCCTCGGAGGGTTTTGTCTGGCGGTGTTATAGGAGTACAGAAAAACTAGTATAAGAAATTAATTGTTATTAAAAACTGATAAATTTGCAAAAAACT